CAAAAATAGCGCTCAAGAACGAAGGAAGAGTTTAGAATTCCAAAATACAATTTTGCAAGTTAAATGTTGAGAGGCGTGAGGATTCATTCAGAACGCGTAAATATTTATACGACATATCTTATGGGGTAGACGTAGCGTGTCTCCGGATGGGACGCCGTTGATTCAGACCGATATCTTGAAGAAACGTTATGTAAGAACCACCTCGGACTGGCCGTGAACTTAACGGCGTCGACGTCGTCGTGATCGTCGCAGTCGAACGCGGACGCCTCTCTTTCCACGCACTTTACACACGTTCGGTGCACTCGGGTACGCACGAAAGAGTACGGATTTCATTCAGATTTATTTCTCTCTTATAACAGAGCTATACACAAATAATTACAAGTAACAATTATTAGAAAAGAAAGCAAGAAATCTAGATTGTATATTAATAGTATATGGCAATTAAATTAAATTAACCTATTTATTAATTTAAAAATAAAATAGATATGCAGGAATGATGTAAATTTTACTTCATTTTCTTGTTTTCATGATATGACTGCTGGTTTCATATTGCTTTCTTTGCCTTTAATTATTTAGAATAAATGGAGTTTCTGTAAAGTTATTAAATTAAAAATAAATTTTTAATATATTTATTTTAGAAAAGTTAATAAATAAAACAAAAAAGTTTTGAGCAATAAAAATAAAATTCGATAATTTCTAATTTTCAATAAAAAATAACGTAAAATATTCATTTTTAAAGATATAATTATAGAACTGTTGAACAATCAAGTTTATATCTAGAAACGTATCATTTGTTGACCTATCTCACTACTTGTCTTATACCAATACATAATCCGATAATTTATTTTTAACTTCTAAGTGCTCTAAAACCGTATCAACTAGCATATGCTTAAATAAATATTTTGCAATTAATTATTAGTATTAGTATTACAATAAGTAATTTGCAATTAAAGATTAATAATATATATTAATTATAGCAAATAAAATTTCACGTCAAATTATATTTTTTGTACTTAAATAACATTAAATTTAATTAATTTTAGATCTAATAAATAAAAGTAAATAAAGGTTTTTACTATATATAAAATTTAAATTTTTATATTTATATTAGATATATTAAGTACGTTTATATTAGGTATAATAATAATTACATTAAATAAATATAATCAATAACATCTTTTTAAGTAAACTTTCCATGTAGACAAAACATACAAGATATATGTCACAATAGATGTAAAAATTATTCAGTATAACTAAAACTCTTTCACGTGCTCAGAGCAGTTAAAAGTTAAACATCAAACGCTATTCTAATCTCTGCTATTCGTCTCTAACGCAGAGACTTTTGTTTGTTTTTTCGAGAAATAAATCATTTCTACATTACTTTCCAGATACGATCTTACCAAAGAAATTATTCAAACATAAATAATAGAAATCAGCGATTCTATTCTCGAAATATTGTATGTTCCAAATTCTTAATCTCGAAATCTCAATCAAACAGAGAGATTATTTATAATTTTACATAATTTTTTATATACATACATAAATATTATCAAAAATCTGTTGAAATCAATTTCAAATTAAACGATAAATTTTTAAACCTTTATCTTCATAGATAAAAAATACTAATATTTTACGTCATACATAAATAATAATTTTAGAATAATATTTTAAGCTTTAATATATTTAATCAATTAGCTAACAAATAAAATTGTATTTTTGTTAATTAATTTAAACATGTATATGTAAGTTTTATATATATATATTATGTGTGTGTAAAATAGATGCGAGCAATATGTTATTTGATTCAATATTTTCATTTTGTTGTAGACTATAAAATTTTTTTGTAAAAATATTTTTAAAATATTAAAATTTTCTCTCTCTCCCGATATAAAATTTTATATTAAATTATTTAAACAAAGACTTTATTTATTTATGTACGTCATCTATTTAATATTGTGAAATATAAAATTGTAATAAATAAGTTTCCTATAAAATCTATTAAAAGGAAGTCGATTTTTAAATGTCATAGTACATGATTAAAATCTAAAGTAATACAGAACAGATGTTTATGAATTGATTACACCGAGATCAATAATTTCTAATAGACTCTTCAGCTTGGAGTAATAAAAACTGATCTGCAGAAGTAAATGAGGGGAAGAACAAAAATGTGTGAGAGAATGAATCTTATTATTTGAGAATAAGAAATATATAGAAAAAAGGGATATATATTCTTAAAATGCCATGCACCTTTTTTGCTCCTTAATTTAATTTAATGCTTTTTAATGCTGTAATGCTGTAAAGAAAGTATACGGAAATCCATCAGGATACTGATAATAAGATAATTTTATCTCCGATTTTCGGATTTAATAAGTAAAATTGAGTAAGAAAAAAGATGAGGTCAACGGTCCTCCTAGGATAGACTCTTTTATTAACTTTTAAATATTGTAATTAATTATTCAACAAAATCTATCAATTAGAGCCATTTTTCGCAAATTAATCTCTCTTTGGAAATAACGTCAAAGTCAAGGCAATTCTTATGCCAGTTTTTTTTATAATATTACAGCATTAATATTCTTCAAATAATATAATTATATGAAGAAATTTCCGAAAATTTTTCGATAGAAATTCTATCTCTTATTTTCAAGTTAATTAAATGCTATTTAAAAGACTGCCGATTCCGTTGATTATCGCAGCAGATTTGGCTCTGTTGCTATCTAATATGTATCCGTATGTTGATCCACGAATATATCGCAAACTTTAAGCAACTGGTTTACCTGTATATAACCTAGATATAATGGGAATGTGGTCCTTTCTAGTGCTGTAAAAAGGTGTAATTTCAGCACTAAGTGTTCGTAATTTTAATTAAATTGAGGCAGATTATGAAATGCGAATGATAAACCAGTATACTTTTAGTCTACCGACTAGCCAGAAACACTATTCAGATTAGGTGTTTCGTAATAATCTTTATATAACCACATGTTGTTACCCTTTGCCCGCAAACAGAATAAATTAAAAATGGTATCGCCTGATTTTTTACAGAATCGTTTCTAATCGTTATTCCCTTGAAAATAATTGAATTTGATACACTCAATTGAGTTAATTAATTTTATTTGAAATTAAAGTCATAGACGCATTTGACGATAAACGCATCCATGAAATTGTGACACTGATATGATACGTCAAAGTGATAAGCAATATGATTCAAATAGGAAACATCAAAATTGGATAACTATATTGACTTTATGATTCATAGTCATTAAGCAATAGATACAGATATTGTATTTCTCTTAGACATTGTTATATATTAAATCTTTCAAAGATGTTTTTGATGATTTTGTCGTACAATACCAACTGAAAAAAGACAGCTAAAAGTTGCGCAAAAATCAGTAAAAACTTTACGAAAAATTTTTAATGTAATTATTCTTGAAATCAATTGCAAAAAACAAAACAAATAAAGTTGGCTTACAATGACTATACGACGCAATTGACCGTGTATATTTTAATACAGTTTTAGATAAATAACTTTTAAACAAGTAAGCGGATTCAAATAAACTTTTGCAAAAATATTTATTAGAGCTTTATTAATATTTATAAAAAATTTGATACAATTTGTAATGCTACTTCCTCATAAAATTTGTAAATGAGTATTACAAAACGCGATTTTACATAAGAATCAATGCAAATAAAAAATCAAATAACTTTTAAGTCAATAAGAGAATTGTATTCGAATTTTGCGCAGATGCTCTGCTGTATAATAATGGAATAATTTATATGAATTTTACAAATTTTTTATATTTATATTTTTGGTAATGCTTTAAGATGAGATACATACATTCTTAATCAGTGTTTTTTAATTAATATTTTTTTATAAACGCATTAAAATTTATTTTTCCAAACAATATAAAACGCTAGAGAGACTCTCTGAAAAACATTTCTATAAAAAAAACGCCAAGAAAATCTTTAAATTTCTATATGCGAAATTCACTTATGTGGCTAAAATTCCTAATATAAATAATGTTATTAAATGTGTCTCATCTTGTTTTTTTGACTAAATTTCTTTATCAATGAAAACTAAATATTATAAGTTTGCTTATAATAGACTTATAATATAATAGAACAGCACATTTTCATCATTGAAATAGACTCAGAAAAAAAACAAGCTTTCATAAAAGCATCACTAATCCTAAATTACTGCCTGGATTCATGTAATTAATAAGAGCTTCTTTTTATCCTACGCAATAGAGTGAGAACTCTAATCGCACGTGTTATTGATAAAGAGTATTAATACGTTAAATACGTCATACAACTTAACAAATACGACGGAGTGTTCACCGTGATAGGCGCGTGACGAGGAGTAATGCACTGAATAAAAAATGTACGTAAATACAATAAAATTGTTTATTGTTTCAACATAAAATATCATTAAAATTGGTCCAATGAATTAATTTTTATTCTTATAATGATTTAGGTTTCATAAAATGATTAATTGAGGTTAAATTATTAACTAAAATTCATTGTAATAATGAACATGGACATTAAATTATCATTTCATCATTAAAATTTCAACATTGAGGTTATTTAAACTATTAACTAAAATTCATTGTAACAATGAACATGTACGTTGAATTATCACTGAATCATTGGATTTCATTATTATAATGCATGTAATCGTTAATTTAATGAGTAAAATAATACGTTAATGTTTATAGTACACATTTAATGAATAAATTTATTCATTCTATGAACACAGTTCATTGGAAGACTGAACTTTTTCATTGGTTAATTGAATGTTACATTAAATTATGGTACATTCCTGTACAGTATATCAACAAATAGTGATTTGTTATATTAATGAATCTAATTATTTACTAATGAAAAATATTTAATGCAACCGTCATAATATCTATTAAAAGTTTATTGTATCAATGAATTTCATTTGATGTACGTTTTTCATTGGATCATACCAAGAATATTTTTTTTTCAATGCGTGATTTCCTTACCGAGATGAACCGCCAGGTTGTATCTCTCGAGCGCTTGACCTAGGTGACCCTTCCTCATGAGGATATCACCCTCGTGCCTCGCCCGACTGGCCTCCACTTCCCGCGGCCACCATCGCTCCACGAGTCTTTGCACTAGCACATTCGTTTCACTCACAGCGGCGATCTTGACCCCGCACACACGACAGTTCTTCGACGGATCCACGCAGTTCCTGCAGTACGTGTGGCCGCAGGTGGTGGTCACCGGTTGGCAGAGGGTACCTTCGCACAGGGGACACGCGAAGGACGTCTCGAGCCTCCGTCTGGTGCTCGTCATCGCACCGACGCTGACCATGTCTTCGAGGAGCGCGGTCGCCAGGTGCTTCAGTCTCTCGGCCGGCACGGACATCGCGGTCGAGCACCTGGAGTAGATCTCGATCGACTCCCTGACGCGGCCGCACTTGACCAGGGAGTCGCCGTAACCGAGCAGCACCTCGTAGCTCGAGCCCTGCTGCTGCAGACATCGCTCGTACAGCTCGACCGCTAGGTGGTAGTTGCGAGAGGTGAACGCCTCCTTGGCGAGTTCCGTCATCGCCGCCGCGTGCGTCACTCTTCGGGAATGAGAAACGGGAGTGTATCCTTTCGCGCGGGATACGCGTTCTCCTTTTTTTCTTTTTCTTTACGAGTAACTCGCGTACGCGCGTCGGACGTCCTCTCGGTGAAAACCGTTCGATGCCGGTTTCGCGATGTCGAGGACGGCGCACATCTTTCAGTGACTGTATACGTGCGCAGGAATTACGCGGGGACGCGCGGAATCAAAGAAATCAAGCCGGCACGATCACGAGTCACTTGACCCCGGGCGACAGACGGCAATGATTCACTTAAGCGCGGGGACTCACCGGAATCGTTACCGGAGCGCACACGCAGAGAGTTTGACAGCTGGCCGTCCACGCGTGCTGCTCCGCACGTTTCAACGCGCGCGTACAGCGACCGCTCCACACGGCACGCTGGCGCACAGAAGACTGACGCCTCCTCGGCTGTCATCGGTCGGCCGAGCCACTGTCAGAGTCGGCCGCTCGCGCTCGGTCGAGCCGTCAGCAGGGGATGGTGGTGGTGACGGTGCTGGCGACTCGCGGCGGCAGCGGCGGCGGCAGTGGCGGCGATGGTGGTGGTGGTGGTGGTGGTGGTGGTGGTGGTGATGGTGGCGGCGGCGGCGGCGATAGAGGAGTGCAGCCGCCTCCGAGACACGAAGCCAGCGCCACGCGGCTTCGGATACACCACAACGGGTGGTCCGGGAGGCGCGCGGCGAGGGAATTACGGACCACGCTGTGCACGTATAGCTCGTGGAGCGTGTTGCCGTTTTACTTACACCGCAGCGGCGTGTCTGCCACGATGCGTAGGTGTTGCTGCCGCACTCCCGACGCTGCTCCCACCCAACGAGGCGTCGCGTCACAGCGAAGCTCGTCTCTTTGTCTGTCGAGTGCCGTCTGATCTCCGGCCCTCATTATTGAGCAAATTGTTATTGTCATATGCAACGATGTGACGCGCGATATCTTTCTGTTGTTCGAAAGATCTATGAAGACTTCTGTGATTTTTCCTGTTTCTTCTTTCTTATCCGTTATAGATGTTACAGTTGATAAGAGGTTTATTGTTTTGTCTGCGGATCGTATTGATTCAGGGAATGATGAAAACCGTGATCGTTTCCCTTGTCTTAATCTTTTTCGTTTTTAACGTCTTATCTAACTTACAATAATTTTCTTTGTCTTTGTAACGTAATAAATGAATATTACGTTGAAATTATCATTGTAATTTGTAGTAATTTATGATTGTCATTCATCGTACATTATTTCGATCTTATCTATCTATTGCAAGGCATGACAAGTCTTCGTTGAATTGCTCTTATTTATATTTCCTTTATTAAGATTTTTATGCGAGAGTCCATATTAATCAAACAATTGCATAAAGCACTTAATTTTATTGAACAATTTGTTGTTGAAAATATATCTAAATTTTGCCAGTTATAAAATTATAACTATCTATTCGATCAGATAGTCTGCTCGACAAAATGCCCTTAAAATTTTGTTAATGTCCTTAAAATGTTTTAAGTTTATATAAGTCTACTGAGTTAAAAACCCGCACTATTTTCTTATCACGTACGATTACATAAGTAATCGATATCACCTTGGAATCCAATAATGTCAGTCAACGGTTCTGTTATCGGTTAGCGCAGCGACGTATCAAATTGCTCCGATTCCCCATTCATATCCTTTACACCCTCGCATCCGCGCTTGTCGGAAAATTGCTTTTGTACCAAGATTCAATTACAAATGACTTTCGATACCATCGAGTCCCGAATTTTATGCGAGATACCCGGACGGACACTTGTTATAACTTTAGCTCGATCGACCGGGTTCTTCCAACCAGAATGGTCTCGCCGGAATCACGTCGGATGTGCGCAAACCGTACGATGGCGCGTCTCAGGGAGAAGAAACGTGGTTGCACTGTCGATATATAGTAACGATGTGTAGCAACGTAGAGCGAGTCCAAAGAGTTTTTTAACCAATAAATCGCTGGCGAATATCAGTCTTCTGGTCTCCAGAATTCTCACTGAACATTAGTAGTAACTCCGTCCCGAGATATCCCGCTTGTCTGGTGCGTGTAGATACACGCATGTGCGTAAAGGGAGTACGCAGACGCCGCAGGATCGTTCTTCGAAATGAAAGGAGAGGGCTGAACTGCGTACCGCGAGAGCAGCAAGGGAAAGGGCGGTGAAGAATGAGAGATCAATATATGGCGAGTTCACGGGGTGATTAACCTCTTGCCATCTATCTATGGCGTGTTCTCTTTTATAAAATAAAAATTTAAGAATAAATCGAATGATTTAAAATCGGATTTTCTTAAGCAAAGAGTTTGAAGAAGTTTACTAGTTATAAAGATTGAATATAAAAAATGAAATGCTTATTAAAGTTTTAAGAGTGTAAGTACATAACAGTATTTTGTTGTTTAATGCTTGAGGATTTTATCTAAATAGAAATTACTTAATGCTTAATTATACAAATATTTAATATTATATAATATAATGTTGCGTTAATACTAATGGTTAACATATATTTATTTATATTATTTATAAATATACATATATGTGTGTTTGTGTTTAAAAAAATACGGGTGAAAATAAATTTATCAATTTAATTATTTAGCTATTATTTACTACAAAAATCACGAAAAATCTCAGAAAATAAAAATTTAAAAAAATACAAACCAATCACATTTTGGCTTCTTTGACAATTCTTTTAAATCTACAGCATTAATACCGTAAACAATATAAGAGATTTTATTAAAATGCCTCTAACACTATAGTTTAAGAAAATTTAAATATAATTTTAATTTATTATTTATGGTCTTTTAATCAACAGAATATTATTAACAGAATATTATTAAAAAATTGTAATGTAAATCTGTTGATTTGACATAAATAAATCACAAGCCTTGTAAAATGGATAAAATTAGATCTATGGTAAACCCAGCGCGGTATGTACGCCGCACCTATTAAAAACTTAATTTATCAGGTAATATTAATTATGTTTAAGGTAAATGAACTATACCAGTAAAAACTTTAGACTGTCCACTACTATAAAAAAAATATTAGGAATCCAAAATATTTATTTTTTATATTAAAAAAAATTCTTTAAACCCTTGCATTTTTGTCGTATAAAAATATGGGTGCAGGTTAAACGGCTACTCACGGGTGGAATAAATGATTCAAAAAATATACAAATAATCTAAACAATAATAATAAATAACATGTGAATTGATAACATAATTTACATTTACTTATTAATAAATAAATAAAAAACGTATTATCACAGATTATGAATAAATACATACATAAATATTATGATTAATGTATTGTAAAGGGCGTATTATCACGTATTATTATTTACTTTAATATTTACAAATAAATACTAGAGCATTTGTACTACAGCATAAATCCCATGCGCTAAAAATGTCGTATATCCTAAACAGATGGGGTATACGAAACAATAAACTAAACAAAGAATACAAGAGCTAAGCACTTGTATTTTGCTATACTTTATCCTTTACAATTCCTCTACACTTATGTATCACGAAATAACCACGAAGCCTTTTATATTTCCTGCAATAATCATTTTATGTAGATTATAACTTATGGTTGCGCTACTTATTAAAGTGATACATCGATTTAACTTACAATAATTTTATAAATATTAACAGTAAAAAACTGAAATTATATCACAATACTAATATAACATAAAAGTATGTAACAGAGTGGTTGCGAGAAAATTACTTTCACTTCTTCTATTTTTTCTGACTTCTACGGCATAAATCCTCGCGCGGCGTATATACCGGAGTTACCCTAATGTTAATTTTATTAGGTCTTTATAATGTACTTATTATATTATAACGTAACAGATAAAAAATATATTGTATAATATATATATACTTCTCTGTAAATCTATAAATATTTAAATTTATGTAAATAACAATTGTGAGATAAATTTGATCTATTGAGCAATGTATACAATCATAAAGATTTGACACTAGCAATTTACAAATTTGTAATGACATTATATGTAAATAGAAGCATGTTTACATACAAAATATTAGTTGCGTATGCTTTCTTCTTTGTAATTTAATACGTTCATTTTTTAAATTAAAACTGATTAAAGAGAATTTGGTGTAACAATTCATATTAGATGCAATGAGTACTTTAATATTGATATTAACATCGCAATCATCAAGAAATTCTTAATATTTTATCTACTACTCCACTGAGACATATCGAGACATATTGCCAACCGATAATGGTATTATTATGAACATTTTTCAAATAAAATCAGAAGATTAGTATATATTTATATATATAATATTAACAAATATAAGACAATAGTAAAAGTAACAAAATATTTGTTAATTAATAAATTAGTAGATTAATTTCCAATTGATAAGGTAGTCAATAGGCGCTGGAAACAAAAAGTTTATTAATAAACTTTTGGCTGATAATATGTCTGCTCTGATCGGCATAATATACAGACATGCCACACGTACATTCATTATATACGTATTTACCATTTACGCAGTGCGATTCAATTGTGCTCGAAATTATGCGCATAATTGTTATGCCAGGATGTGAGGTGGATGAGTGTCAATAGTCGGAACAACAAACCGTGCGTATTGATACCACATATTCTTACATAATTGCTTGAGATATTTAGATTTACGCGTTTGTGACACAGCGGACAAACAAAGCATAACAAACACGATGTGACGTACATTGTTATTCAACAACAGAATGTTAAATATGCAAGTAGACATTCAACAAATAAGAACTTATGGATTATATATGTATAAGAGCGTCAAGAAAAATCAATTATTATTGAGTGCTCATGTTATTTCAATTTGTGTCGATATTATATTACTCTTTTAATAAAAGAAAAATGTCTTTCTGCTGACTCTGCAATGACACACTCTTGCTCGTAACAATTTTCCGCAGCTGCTTTGCATTCTGCGAATAAATTTACTCTCTAATTATACAAGAGAGAAACGGTGAGGATTGCTGATGCATGGGGAAGATATATTATGCATTATTGCGTACATCGTTATGTGTATATCATCGAGGAGTATATCAGTGCTGTTGCGAATCAAATAATTTTACAAACTGTTTTCTATTAAATTGCGTTTAATAAGAACACATCTGATTTCAATATAATATGAAAATGAGAATGTCGCGTATATAATTAATTACAAAAATTCATTATATATTATTTAAGAAAGATTGCAAAGATATGCACGAGGAAAGGTATAGAATAATTTAAAATTAAGTTAAAAAATGAAATATATTCAATTTCTTTAATCAATAATAAATCAATAAAATTAACTAAAATAAAGGGGCTATGGGAGTTAGCGCGGTAAGTCGTGCGCAATCAAAAATGAAATTAAATACAAGCAAATTTTAATAAAATAATTATATAGTAGCTTGTTAGAAAGAAATTACATAACTAGTTCGTACGTTTCGGCTGAACTTTCAGCCATCTTCATTAAATTAAATTAATG